TCAGCACCTTATTACACTCTAAAAGCTCAAGTAATAGTTTCTTTTGTAAAGCTTAAGTTATAAATTGCTTAGAAATGGAACCACCCCCAGAACGTTGTCCACGCCACCTAAGCTACCTCGGGAAGAAAAGGCTATTTCCCCCATGATGTTGCATCTGGCCTCAGAAAGCCTTTGGGTAGATGTTTTTTAACACTTTCTTATCTTGTAGATTTTAAAATGGCCTTGAATCATAAGCTTGGTTCGTTGGAGGAAACCCATTTGCCTTGAAAAAACCAAAACTGCTCACCAAGTGAATTTCCCCGAATTTCCCCGACGATTTCTCCGAGGCCTAATATACATAACCTGTATAGCAAAATATTGTGATCATTACAAATTTCCACAAAGGGAAAAGAAAGACCTATTCCTCCTCTACAATTTTATGCTACTTTGTTAATCAAGTTGTAATCCTGATATCTCTTTTCCTGAACAAGTTGCAACTGTCATAACAACATAACATAACTCATGGCTGTCAAAGAAATGGAGGAACCAAAAAGACCTCCTCAATCGAGACACAGTGACACTGCACATGATGATAGAAGTGGCGATCTTTATCCCGACGGTGGCCTGGCTGGCTGGCTCTGTGTCTTTGGCAGTTTCATGGGTCTTCTCGCCAGCTTGGGCGTGGTGAACTCTTTAGGAACATTTCAGGCTTATCTGGAAGCACACCAACTAAAGAATTACAACTCTGGCCAGATTGGATGGATTTTCAGCATATACACTTTCTTGACCTTCTTTTGTGGCATCATAATCGGACCTGTCTTCGACGCGCGAGGGCCACGAGTATTGGTCCTTGTCGGATCGATTTTAATCATGGTAACAATGACCACCCTTGGGTCATGCATCGAGTACTGGCACTTCATGTTGTCTTTCAGCTTCTGTGGAGGCTTGGGAACATCTCTTGTCTTCACGCCTGCTATAGCAGCCGTTAGCCATTTCTTCCTCCAGAAGCGCGGCATCGCAACAGGAATTGCAGCAGGGGGTGGTGCAATAGGAGGGATAATCATACCCCTTATGCTGGAAAGCCTTGTTGACCAGATTGGGTTTTCTTGGGCGACACGGGCTCTTGCTCTTATGTGGCTAGTCTGCCTAGGAGTTGCCTGCATCACAATCACATCTCGCCTACCAACAAAACCTTTTTCTAGGGAGAACATTCTTCCCGACCTTCGAATTTTTCGCAATATACCATTCTTACTGACTACCTTGGCGATTTTCTTTGTAGAGTGGGGGATCTTTATCCCAATTTCATACATCTCATCGTACGCCCTAGCTCATGGAGTCTCGCCCAAGCTGTCGTACCATCTCCTCGCCATTATGAATGCAGGGTCGTTTTTTGGTCGCGTACTTCCCGGCTACTTTGCCGATCGACTAGGGCGCTTCAATGTTTTGATCATCACTGTCGCTCTTTGTCTCCTCTCCAATGTTTGCCTGTGGCTGCCAGCGTCAGGAAGCATACCCATGCTAGTCATTTATAGCTGTGCTTTTGGATTCTTTAGTGGCAGCGGTATAAGTCTCACTCCCGTTTGCATAGGGCAACTATGTCGGACGGAGCACTATGGGCGCTATTATGCAACGGCTTACACAGTTGTTAGCTTGGGGTAGGTTCTCCTTTCATCTCTTCTCTCAATCACAATACTGCCTAACAAGAACCTGCCCATTGCTGACTTGCAAAGAACTCTAACAGGCATACCCATTGCGGGAGAGATATTGTCTCGTTGCAACGGAGACTATTGGGGCTTGATTATCTTTACCACATGCTGTTACACTTGTGGACTGATCTGTGCAGTTTCTGTAAAAGTCATGCAGTGTGGTTGGTGTGATATTTGGGCATTTTACTAGGCTGGAAGAAGGTCTAATTTCCCCTACATATATTGGAGTAGAGTCCTTGTCTGTACTGTATTGAATCAGGGCCCACGTGTTATCCTCAATCCAGTATCAATTCTAAAACATGTAGCTTCCACCTATATGATATATAACGACCAGCCTAGACGGGCATACTTTTTCGGAGGTTGCTCATCTTCCTAGCATCATAGTCCTTCCAAAAGAGAACTGAGGCCCAGGTAAGGGCCAGCAGCGAGGTGGAAGATATGAAGATAATACGTTGGGTATCCAGGTAAGCATGATTTATAGCAACTCGACCAGCACTTCCAAGCGGATAAGATGACTGCACCTCCAGGCTACCGTAAATGTCATTGAGATTCACAAGCTCACTGTCGGGCAAATACTCAGCCAGCTTGTTCTCGAACATGCCAGTCCAGATGGCAGTGGCAATGGCTGACCCGGCGCCTTTCCCAACATCAATGATTATGGACTCAAGAGCAAGGAGCGCCGGTGTGTGTTCTTGGGAGACAGCCATGAGCGTCATCTGTTCAATGGGATACATAGTGCCCCCACCAAAAGCGATGAGGATCTTGCAGACCACCATCAAGCTGATTGGTGTAAACCCAGGCTTGAAAGCAATCATCATTCCTTGGCCGAGAATGAAAAACGGAATGCCAAGAACAATGGTATAGACCTTCATTCGTCCATAGTAACGCATCGCAAAGCCGAGTATTATAGTCCAGAAAGATGAACCAACATAGTAGATGCTATTGATGTAGGTGGCAGCTATAATAGATTGGTTGAAGACGACAATAAGCATCGAATATATGTAGGCGGAGCAGATGAACTCAGATGTGTAGAGGGTCGCAGCCATAATATTGGTCCATACAACAGTTCGATCCTTTAGCAGACGTGATGAAAGGAATGTTACCGGCGCAAGATATATCTCGTAAAGGATGAAACAAATGATGAGGACTGGTCCAAACACCATGAAGCAAATAATCAGGGGCGATCCCCAACCTTTATCTTGATAGGAGTAGATGCTCAGAGACAAGAGGAGCAGACTCAGTCCAGTCGCAAGAATAAGAAGCCCAACAATGTCAAATTCCATCAAATAGAAGATGATGCGTTGACTAATTGTTTTGCCATGTTCGGGTCGCTCGATCAAGCCTGCTTGCCTTGCTCTCTTATCGAAACGAAACATCAAAGTGATGACAGGGGCAGATACAACAGGTATAATGATACACCACACGCCAAAACCCCATCGATATCCGAGGTTCGTCAAGACGCGGTCAGCAGTGGGACCATAGGCCCATGTCGAGATGAGTGATGGAGACCAGACAATGCCAAACAGAAGGGCTCGGTTGCGGATTGGTGCTGAGTCTGAAATAAAAATGACAATGCTGAACTGGATTCCGTAGTATCCGACATAGTAAAATACTTGAGCGGCACAATACGTTTCGACACTGTTGCAGCCAGCCTTCATGACGGCACCAAGAATTGTAAAAATGACCATGAGAGTTAGACTTTGTGGCCGGCCCCAGACGTCGAGTAGCTTAGCATAAGGAAGCCTGAAGATGCCACTAGCGATGTTGGCGACGACGTCGGTGGTTGCGGTGAGGGCGTGTCTTTTGTAATCGCTGACGACGTAGGGGGTAAGAACTATGAAAATGTTGTTTGAGAAACCGAGTGCAAAAACAAGCAGCCAGATGCTGGAAATACGGTTAGCTCGAGTACCTCTCGATAAATTTGTGACATGGGAGTCTCACAAGACATGTGTCAAGATTTGTTCGTTTCGAGTCATGACCTGTTGGAGGGCTCCAGGGGTTTCTTTCTCATCGCCAGTCTTCGGAGGGTTGATGCCTTCAACATCATGTCCTGGGCACTCGATGTCAAGTTTGGGTTCGAGAGCAGTCTCCTGCGTGGCTTGGATGTATATCTTGTTGAGGTGGCCGCCCTCAGTCCCTGGACTCCCAATGTCGGTCTTGTGGTTAATCATAATGTAAGGGTAACACTATCAGAGCGTAGCAGCAAAGAGATGTATCAGCCCGTTAGAAAAAGAATATACTCAAGCTCCTGAAACGAGAGCTGAATCAGAGGTTTTATAGATAATTAAAGACAAGATCTTTTAACACCACACCAACCATATGCAAGCCATTTTATCAATCAGACGCGCCATAAAAGTTCAGTTTGTGCCCAATCAAATGCAAGAAGCAGACGGCTTTTCCTAACAAAGTATACCTACTCGTGGATCTGATAAGGTAAAAATCGGCAGGCAAGGGGGGCTAGTCTACCATCTGATAACATGGATCTCCAATCTCCTGACATCTGGACCAGGCTAAACCCACTGAGTCATTTTTTGGCAAGACCATCGCACGCGAGCATGGTTGCTTTGACGCAAAGCCTAAACTAGAAGAGCTCTCCTGGACCCTGTTGCGGGCTTCCTTCGTCCGGGACTGGTGGGATGATGTCGTACACCACGTTCGTAACCTACTTGCCAACTCCAAAACTACTATAATTATGACAATCCTGCACCTCTAAGCAGCTTGATGAAACGTCGAAGTACGCATACTAAGTCCGTAAGGTGGATTGATTGAAACCCACAGATCTCGACACTCAATTCAGTCAGTACGTGCAAGTCATGGGGCTGAATGAGAACAGCTTTCTCCAGGTGGAGGCTTCAAGTAAATAAACCGGAACGCTAGATGCCTTTTGGGTTTCTCATTATCAATCATTTCTTAGACCAGCTTTACAGGGAAGCATTTCGGGAAACCATACCGATCGAGTCAGATGTACTGCACTTCGGAGATAAATCTCGATTCATCCACGTGTTGGGTTGTCAACTCTTCAGAGATCTCCGAGATCTCCGAGATGATTCGTAAGTCAACAGTAAAGTAGAAAACTCTACACGAATCAGGCTTGTTGCGAAGTTGTTGTTGTAAATAAAAGCGGAGGCCAGAAATGGACGTCCAATCGGCTTAGCTTGTAATATCTCCGGATCTCTCCGAAGATCACCGATCAAACTTCAAGGTTTACCAGTTTGTCAACTTACAAAAACCAGCACCAACCCCGACAGAGCTGACTTCCCCGTTCCTTGTCCGATCACTTGAAAGTCCGGCACTCGTTACCGTAGGATGATAGAGATGTCAGATCAAGTCCGAGATGCCGCTAGGAAATCCTCCACACGCAGAGGTGTACCCCACAGACGACCACGAAAGCCGCTCAGCTGCGAACCTTGCAGAGTCAGCAAGCTTCGGTGTGATCGACTTCTGCCCTGTTCGGCTTGCAGACGGAGAGAATGCGAATCCGCTTGCACTTTTCGGCGAAATCGAGAGGCAGTTGACAATAACTCCACCGTTCTCGGCGGTGTATCTGCGACTCCCACATCCAACTCATCCGCTTGTCCACCACCCCCACCGGCAGTTGCAACAGCAAATGTGGCAGAGTATTACCATTCTCCGACACCATCGATCCTTCGAAACGCCTTGGGCGAGAATCCTCCGGTACAATCACCGAGTGACGGCCCTCTGTGCTCCGTCCCATCTTGGGATACAGTCCTTGAACGACCCTCTCTAGGCCGGGACAACTGTGCTTTTGGATTAGATACCGACCCGTTTGCCTCTTTCGCCTTTGGCCCAAAGGTGCCAAAGAGCGAACTTCTAAGGCTCTTACCGCCGAAGCCCACTCGCGAGTTTCTCTTCTCCAGATACTTTACGTTCCAAGCGCCACTATTCCATGTCCTCCACGTACCTACCTTTGAGCAGCAGTATGCAGAGTTCGCTCATGGCTCAACGGAACCATCACTATCATGGCTAGCTCTGCTATTCGTCATCAATTCCTTGGCTGTTCAAACATTGGGAGATGGCGACCCAATCCTTAGAGAGTGCCAGCCGTCGGGGTCCGACCTTGACGCTTGCGATCCCCAATCGCTATCTCGTCGCCTTCGTAACGCCGCCTTTGCTTGCCTTTCAGAGGCTCGCTTCATGGTGAGATATAATCTAACTACGCTCGAAGCCCTGTTGATTATGATTTATGGAATATGCCATAGTGAAGGAGTTGATCGTGCCTGGGTGTTTCTCGGTGTCGCTCTCAACATGGGTATTGCTTTGCGATGCAATGCCAACCATCCTATTCAGAATAGAATCGAGCAGCAGAGGCGTTGGCGATGTTGGGCTGGTATACGACTGCTTTACACTTATCAAGGCATCCTCTTCCGTGACGTCGATCACTCGTTCCTTCTTGCGTTTTCTTCTCCCATACCCGCAGACGTCGACGATCCCGGCATAAATACAGATACTATACGAGAATCCTCGACCTGTCCAAATGGCATATCAATCATGAAGCTCAAACTTCGACTCTTTGAGCTGTCAACTCGGATATGTAGCAGTCTTTCCAGCAGCTCTAGCTTTGACGAGGCTACGATGCGTCACTACGAAGCCTTGATTGCGACCGAACAAGAGCAGTGGACTTCTCTCTTTCTGCCTTCTGGATCTCTCAGCTTCGGTGATACAGCAGGCTATGCGTATTGGTGTATACTGGAGACCTACGCGTATCAGCTCTATCTTCTAGTCAATCGACCTTTCTACCATTCCCAATCTCCGCAATTCCTGCCTTCCAGTAGGAAAAAGTACGCCGAGTCGAGCATAGCCCTTTTAGACATCTATGAGAAGATGTGCGAGCTTCCGATACTTCGGCCCTACCGATGGCTAGTAAATGGCATGACAAGTTTCAATGCAGTCCAGGGGGTGGTTGCTCTGGCAGCCTGCATGATCGACAAGCCCGGACAAGTAGACTCTATAGCTTCTCAGCGAGTATTCTTTGACGCTGCCGTTCGGCGTATTGAGTCGCTGCGCAAGTCTAGCCCCGTTTGCGAAAGGGCTTACTCCGCAATTCAAGCCATACAGTAAGGCCATGTCAGCACTCACGAAAGGTCTTCAAGGTCTCACACTCTCTAGGACGCAAATCTCGGCGCTGATCGATGACGAATGCCATACTACGTCTCGAGAATGGGACCCTAATGCAGATTGGCTCGATCTAAATTCCATTGATTGGGTAAGTGAGCCATCAACCTGCTGTCATACATACTAACTCAATCTCATGACATACAGACTTTCTGGGAGAATTTCGTAATGTGCGAACACTGAGGAGCTAGTTTCAATAAATTGGTAACTATTATTATTGATAACTATCTAAAGGAGTGCTCTATCTATTAGAATGATTATATTCATAAACTTAGGGATCACCAAGGCTCGCCGGTGATCCTAAGTGGCCTTTGGCCTTGATCTACTGTTGCATTTATGATTTCTTGGAAGAACGGCTGTGCCCTTCGATGTGGGGAGGAGCAATATCACTTGAGGCCTTGTAGGACTAGTCGTCGAGAGCACTATCTGTATCTCATCTTACAGATTAGAAAGACACTTTATAAGCACATCAAATGCGTCAATACTCACGGGACGATTAAGTAACCAATGTATCTCGAATCCCAATCCTGCCACCCCGCCTCCAATGACAATTACAGAGTCTAGACTAAGGCCACCTCTCCGTTTCGGCAAGATTCTTGCTTGGGGAGGCCATCCTCGCAACGCAGCTAATAAGTAATAGGGTATAGATCAGTTAACTATAGGTATATATAGATACTACCCCCCTTACCTACGGTGTTTTACCTAGGCCTCATCTTTTCATCAAAATGCCGATCTTAGCATCTATTAGGAACGAAGCGGCTAAGTATTAAAAGGTGGTAGTTTGAGAGAAAGGCCCCTTATTAAGAGAAAAGGTGCAAGCGGTAAAGAGCAGTTAATTAGTCGCTATGGAATATGATGCTCGATCTCCACTATCGAGAAAACAAATGGGTAAAAATAACATTCAAATAAATTAGAACGAGATTCTTAACAAATTGAATCATTATGCATTGAAGTTTATGTCCATGGGTATCTAAATATACAATCAACGCCTCTTTGCCCGCAGCCTCCCCAGTGTTCATGGACTTGACGAATGTCTGGCTGTCCCATCCACATGCTCATCCACAGGGCCAATCAGTATATCCCAAATACTCTCAGTGACAGGTTTAGTGTCGACGATGTCGCTATGATCGAATTACTGTTCAGCGATGTGAATGACTTTTGAGGCATGGGGGGACTTACATTCTTGAATTCCTGTCGTTATTCGGCAAGTCGTCGTCTAGGAATTTCAACCTTCGTTCGCCATCTGGACTCGACCCAAATCTCAAGAACTGTATAGCAACCGTTGATCGGCTGACCCCATGGCCTATTATTTTACTTGTGAGTGCTTTGATTGGGTTCTCAGCGCCGCCTCCGAGGGAAAAGCCCCAGATCCCATCAGTGAACACAACAACTGTGACCGGTTTCATGCGGCCGGTGAGTCTCCCAGGAAGACTACGCCATGATGTTCGCCCAGTGCTGCTTTTCGACGCAGAATTCTGCAACTGGTCACCGATTGGACCGAGTGCTTGCTCAAGGGCAAACTCCATATTGCAGCTTTCCCCCCTCCCTCGACTGAAATTCTCCGTAACAAAATTGGAGTGGCCGGTGGCGTGTTTAAATTTCGCTCGATTCATCGGGTCTGATGTACACATGATTTCTGCCCCATCCGGGTCGAGTCTCTTGGCGAGATATGCAAGACAGTGGACAAAATTCTTGACCTGGTCCTCGTAGGCTTGCATCGTCCGAGAATTGTCGATAACGAAGATCTATAAATGCCCATTAGCCATTGATTCATATAAAATTAGCTGTTTTCGGTTGCTGGCGATTCCCACTTACGAAGTCGCGGCCATTAAGCTGAGCTCGAACCCTTTCCCATCCCGGCAACTCTGGCGTGTTCCCGTTGATTTTCTTTTTAACGATCCATTCGCTTACATCGTCAATCGTGGGAACGCTCTTTTTTCTCTCTTTTCGGGATAATCCGTGCTCAGCAGTTGACACAAGGTTGGACTTTGAAACTGGCGATCGAGCTTCCAGATCAACCCGAGACGTGTAAGACGAGGCATGTTCTTGCTCTGATGTGGGAGAGGCTACCATCGGCTGTCCAGTTATCGAGCCGTGCCGCGTAGTCAACACCCCGTTCGTTGGGCCTGGAAGCGAGGTCGCTCGTCTATTGGGTTCCGTATCGATTATTGGCTTCATCGCTGAATAAATAGACCGCGCGGGCTGCCTCTTGTCTTTCTCCACCAGCAACTCCCTGAGGGCCAAATCAAATATTTTGGGTGTTGTCTCGTCGCCACGACGCCCGTGATCTCGAATACGTTGACCGAAGTCTCGAACACAGCCCAAAATATCTCTGCCGTCATGGAAGCAATCTCCGCGACCAGATTTCGCGTAGTCGCTTAGGGAGCTGGTTTCTTCCGTTCGACCTTCGATGAAATCCAGGCGACCTCTTTCCCTAAGGCTTATCCAAATAGCACATTCGACAATGATGCATCCAAGTGACCACAGGTCAACCTCCAACCCGACATCGTAAGTGATCTCGTCGCCCAGGACGAGTTCAGGGGGGGCTTCAAGAAATAAAATCAGCATCCGGTAAGTAGTTAGCATGCAACCGGGGTTCCTACCGTAAGTCTTGGATGTCTTGCGATCAACGACTCGAGCGGTTTTAGAGCCATTTGGGCCTGGTTCTTGAGCATCAAAGTAGCTGTACTCAAGGTCGATGATCTTAAAGATGAAAGAGAACTTGTTACGAGGGTCATCTCCAGACGATACGACAACGTTGGCGGGCTTGAGATCCAAATGGAGTCTTGAAGCTCACTCAGATTAGTATAGGATTGAACTGACGAAAACAGGTTTCAATTCATGTAGCGACATACCCTTTGCGTGCATGAATACACTCTATTCCTTTAGCAATGCCAGCAATGCCAGTCCATAGGGAGGATATTTCGTCCGGCTTGTACGGCGGCGATTTTTTCTCGAAGAAGTCGAGGAGGGAGCCATGCTCTGCGTGTTCAAGTATGAGATTGCCGGTCCGTTGTTTTTGTTCAGAGAGCCAGCTGTAACTTCCCAGGAGTCGGGTTACATTGGGGGTGTTATGTTTAAGGACACTGTACGATTCTTTCTCATTGAGATATTCGTCGCGAAGGTGCGGCGGGAAGGATTTGACGACAACGTATTTTGGTATCTAGTCATCCCCCGCCAAAGTCAGCCACATGCCATAAGATAGTACTACTTTCATAGGAATAGAAATTGAGAGAAAGGAGGCGTGTAAAGATCGGGGCTATATCTACCAGATGATTGTCTGTTGAGAGGTGACTGTGCGCTCCTTGTAGCACCTCCATCGTGTGCACGTTTTGTTCTCTTCCTTGGCCCTGCTCAGTTGACTCCGTCGTCCGGAAGGCCAATATAGTGTCTATATGAAGGTTCAAGTCGCCAGCTGGGGCGAAAGGGCCAACGATTAATGCTGGGCAGAACCTCCACTGAGAATTGAGGAACTTATTCAAACGATCAAAATTGTGATCATCCTGGACACGACCTGGTATGCCTTCCCAGGGCAGACGACGGTCATCTTGGGATTCTGAAACGAGTCTGGGGAGGAGTTTAATGTAGCGGGTAAAGCAGAGAATCGAAATCACAAGCAAGAACCTGTTTCGGATAACGAGAGGGGAGGGTTCGTTGATACTGGCGGCCGTAAGCAGCTCTCTAATCTTTTTCGGCGTCCAATATTCTTTCAAGGCAGAGCAAGGCACGAGTCTCTTGCGATCTCCTTGGCAAGTAGTCCCCCATTCATACTTGTCCTCGAGATAATCCAAGAATGTATCGTACTGGTTCTCTAACTGGTCCATTTGTGGCAACGCGGGGGATCGGTGTGCAAGAATGGCAGTCAATGTGCTACCACGTGAGTTAGGAGGAGCAAAGGGTGGCAATTTGCTATTTATACCCCGCTGACTATCACATAGTTGGTTACTTAATCATGCTCAAAGGCGGCATGAAGGCTGGCCAGTGGCTAAGCAGGGTGAGGCTTCTCTTGGATATTGGAGGTGCGCCTCACGGACTGCCTGCCGTCTTCAGGCAGCAGGAAGCAGGTATAGAACGAGGCGCAGGCAGATCTTCACCTCGAGCATTGTCATGAATTCACTCAAGCATACATCTACGGGTGTTGGGATGCGTCTAATAGCTGCGTGCTCTCTCAACTTGATAAAACCCATGTTTACGAAAGCCCCCTCTTCTCCCCCTTTCCCGTGCTATGATAACATATCCTAATGATCTGTTGTCTAAGGGCCATTGCTCCAATGGATGTGATCCTCAGAGAAGGCAACCTGTTCGCCTCACCCCTCTCCACACCACCCTCCCGATCTCGAGTCTCAGCCGGTCACAATGACGCCCAGTCAGGCGCAGCCAGCCACCTTTTCGACGAGGTGCATATCGGCTGAGATGAACAGGGGTTCTATAGCTCTCATTTCATAGTGTCCCCCTGAGCAAATTTTGTACGGCCACGCACCGCCACTGTTTTTGTGTATGCGCGTGCCGGTCTGCCTACATTCTACACTGGGCTCGAGGCGGCTTCATTGTACTCCTGCAGCTGCTTTCTTCGCAACTTTTGTGCACGCAAATACAATCCCCATAAGCTTAGAGTGATGACCATCATAATCAAGCAAATGATTATGAAAACCACGAAAAGATCCTTGTGGAAGATCCAGGACTGTGGGCTCCCTTCCTCGGAATCCCCAAAGATCGGCGTGCTGAAGAAGCTCTGGGTATGTTCGGTCAGAAAAGCAGGCGAAGAAGACTCTCGGACAAACAAAAGGAGCAGTCTTACGCCAAGAAATGTACCAGGTAGGAAGATGAGGGCGAAAAAGGTCATAAAATGCATGGAGCCCGTATCCTTCTCCGTGCTTTCGGCAATCTTATTCATGCTTCTCGTCATCTCTTCCATCCGCTGAGTGGAGCTCTCCATTCGTACAGAAGCACTTAGAGCATCCATGGCAAAGAGATTATTTGTTTCTGCGCTCTTGAGTTGCAGAATGGAATCATACTGCGCTTTCGTTAGTGAGCCATATCTTAATAATATGAGCGTGACTGCCTTTCACTTACGAGGATCTGGGCATCGGCAGCGACTTCAATCAGAGCATCAATTCGTGAACACCCTGTCAACAATCTCTTCTCCAACTGCTCAATTCTTATTTGGAAGCACTCAAGATCCTTGGGGCAGGCGTTTTTTATTTCAGCAGGACACCCAGGATCTTCAAACAACCGTTGATAAAACTGGCGAGTCTGTTGGAGAACTCTGGCATTCGATCCCATGATGAACTTCGCTTCCTTTAGTTTCTTACAGATCGAGTTGAGCGTTTGCAGATGGTCAAATGGAAAATCTTGCAATTTTCTCACTTTCTCAATCGTCCGCTCCATGGTACTTTGAACGAGCTTCTCCAGCTTCTCCGCCACCTTTTCATCACCAGAAGGGCCCGGCGCTGGGCCCCCGTTCTTGATATTGCCTGATATTGTTGTTTTGATCAAGTTGAAAGAAGATTGACGCTGTGGTGATTGGGTTTGAGACCCCGGACTGGCGCCTAGCCCCTGTGATTCTCTAAATGTCTGCGACCTCAACAACAGAAGGCCATTTTTCTCATCATCGCCCGACATTGGTATATTGCGTATCCTCTGGGAGATTTCATGGATCCCATGCTCCAGCTTATTTACGAATGCTTTCCAGCCTGCTACACTCCAATGGAAACTGACCAGCTGCGTCTCCAAGGAGGTGACAAAGGAAGAGGCCAATGAATGAGGGACCGCATTTTTGTTAATTTCGGTGATTTGGTCAAGAATCTTTTTATGGTTCGCCTTGAGGGTCAAGAAGACAGAACGTCCGGTCGAGAAATCAAAACAGTGATGAACGGCCAGCTGACGATTGAAAAAGTCGTCTCCGACTTTCTCCATGCCTGAGAGCTTGTACATGTTTCGCAGCTCCCAGCCAGATCGTCCAAGCTCAGGCGTGCGCAGGAAGTCATTACCCGTAGGTTTGACGTGATATTCCTGAGAGCATTGAGGTTGATAGATGTTGACAATGCCCTTCTCTGGCTCCTCGAAAGAGCTCAGCATGTCTATAAATTCCGGTGATAGTTGAAAGTAGGTGCACATGAAGCGAAAGGCCTCAGAAGTGCAGTTCAGCGGCCTTCGAGAGTTGCCAGCAGAAAGGAATCTGATTTTGAGTGGATCAGTGGCGTTCGACGGTGATCATGCAATTTTTGGCCAACTTACATGTTGCGAAAAAGGGGATCCGGTTCTTTTCTGACGAGGTGTCGGTTGAGATGACTTCTCAGTTGGTCAAAAGTCGAAATTGTCTCGGTCTGCCATGTCGCCGCTGATCTCCCAGTTAGAATCGACATCAATGATGATTTGCAGATAGAAAAAAGGTGTACGAACAGTGGTTTTGGAAATTACTCTCCCGAAACACGAGCGAAAATGATTTCGGCTCCTTGTCAATGAATAGACGGTCCTGGCTCTCGCGGAGCTGATCCTGAATTTGTTTCAGCAATTGCCTCTGAGCCTGTGCCCCGTCAATCATGCTGGGGCAAAGAGGCCAGAGGTGAGATTCTCGGCAATCGTCTATGATCTGTTGAATCATTTTAGGGGTTCTATATGCTGCTTCTAGGTTTAATTATCATAGGAGCATGTGGCTGCTTGGCCAATTTGTATTTTATACACGACTGAGGCTCAAGCCTTGTGCGTTGGGCCAAGTCAGCTGCGGCGGAATGTCTTGATTTTTCGCGCCTTGCGCCTCGTTGCCTCTCACGCCAAGGCAGAGCCGTGCAGTGCAATGGCATAATTACGGCGCTTGTCCTGCACCTGTCCTCGCCAATGTACATATTAGAGTGTTGATTCAAAGGCTTGACTTGTCACTCACTTGGCGTATTGCCGAAAGGCTCAGCTGATTCATTCGCTTTCAATTCATTCAATTTCGTATCCCTCGACTAATAATAACTAAGATCTTGTGTTATCATATGTCAATAACAGTATACGGCTTTGCCACCAACTGTCGTACCAAGTCAGGCAGAGAGAGAGGTGGCTGTCTACGCGCCCGTCCCTCCACCCCCAACCCCTTTTTTCTTGTTTACGACAGTAATCTCAGCCGCAGTCGGGAAAAAAAGCCTAAGCAGTACGAGTTGACAAAATATCGAGAAGCAAGAAATTCAATTACACCCAGGAATACCCCGATTGTGCATACTTCATCCAATACCCATCATCCTCGACTCACATCCGACATGGACTGATATACCGACTCATATACCGACTCACATACCGAGAGATGACCACAACATGTAAACATACTCTTTTGTCTTAGAGATACCCAATTTTCTATGTAGCCCAAGCCTCCTGAAGCGGCGGGCGGCAGTGCCTCGAGCCGTGTCGCTAGGCGTATTGAGGCCGGCCGCCCTTCTGGCCACACCCCTAAGAATTAAGGTCCACTTCCTGGAGGGCGCGTATTGCGTCCCATTGTACCTATAGATTTTTTATCAAATGTCAGCATGAAGATTCGGGGCAGGAGACCTATGTGAGAAGGGAGGAAATGCCCACGGACCTCCGTGAGGGGTTTGGGTAATTCTACCACATATTCGTCGGCTTTCCCTAACTACAATGCATTTCATCAGCATAATGTTGATTGATCGTGCTTTCTTTGTGACCACCTCAAAGGCAAGGATCAGGACCATACTTTGACCTCAATGTCTTCGTCTGGGAACTGGCCTGACAAATAATTCTGGAGCTTGTCTTGTTTCAAGCGATAGCGCGAAATGACCTGTTGCATCGTATCCATTGAAGCCTACCTAGTATACAGGACAAGGCATACAGAGAACCTAGCATCAAGTTGAAGTGGCAGGGAAAAACACAAAGTATGCCTTGGGCGGTGAGAGGAGGGTCTGTGTGAGGCTCTCGTGGCTTTTATGCCCCTCATGACTTGCCCAGTAGGCTGACTTGCGGCTCTGCTTACTCCTGCTTGGAACTTATTTTGCTCCCCCCGAATGTGAGGGGGCGGGGGACATTACGCTACACACCATCATACCTCATGTGTTGCTACATCGGTGGATTACGCTGAGCGGAATGCATGATTGTGTCTCCTCATTGGGCGCATCTTGGGTTGCATAGCGGCCGACATGGCGTCATGGGGACATTTGTCTATGGTTCGCGAACCAGATTAACGTTGTAGTTTTCATGCCGAGATGGGTTTGTAAAACGCGGCCCAGCATGATGGCACTCAGTCACGAGGACAAGCCAAGGCATATCAAGCCAGGCGGTGTTGTCAAAACGCCCACTAAGAGGCCGATACCGGTGTCCTTTGAGACAGAAGAAGCACTTATTTTGTGTCAAGTCGGTCTGAAGGGAAACTTCATGTAGCATGGGTGCCTTGGGCTCCTACACGTTAATGCAATGCGGCCTTGGGAGGAGAATTGTGTGTGGTGCGGATGCAGTTCCTGTGTCTAATCCTTGGAACGCCTGCAGACATGACAAATGTTGAGAACAATTGTCCCCCCACAGGCCCCCAAGAGACCGCCACACTATTACTTGGAAATTAAGTTGTGTCATCATGTGCGATAGTTGCCTTGCTTGAGAGCAAAAGGCAAGTTTGCCATTACCGAGGCTGATAACGGAGAAGGATGTAGATTCCTTCTACCGGTGCATCTATGTGAGCAAAGGGATCTATTCCCGATAATTTTCTATTATTTCCAAAGGATAATTAGCCACTGTAGGCAATTGTGATATGTCAGAATGCTGCCTCTTCCAGCGCCCGCATACACTACCACCGCCCCAGCCTCACGATATGGCAGGCTCCCCAACTCCCCAGAGATTAATTTTTTCTTCAAACCTTTACATATCTACTGCCGTCGATTCAACTTCAGTTTCTTTGGAAAGCTGGTTATTTTCTTCCGCCAGCTAGTCGGTCAATGTGAGAGGATACAGCCACCAAAAGAAAGGGTAATGCTTTCGAAACACCTTTTGAATACTCACCCACCCCCAACCCAGTCAAGAGAACCGCTGTCTTATGTCACGGTGAGCGATGGTCGCGGACCTGGCCTAGCTGCTGCTATTGAGATGAGCGATCGATGTGTGGCTGGCCGAGCTGTCTCGTGTGATGAGGAGCGATAGCTGCAAGTCGGGCCTAGCTGCCATCCGTCAAGATAACCGACTCGGTGGCCTGCCCTATCTATTTACGCTGAGACGAGAAATTGCCACAGACCTGACTGAGCTGCGTTGTGTTGCGACGAGTGATCAGCACGGTCCTCACCCCTCTGTCTGTTGTTGAGATGAGCGGTAGCTGTGGGCCTTACCGCTTAAGCCGCCATCCCTTGCGGCAGCTAATCCATACAGGTCCTCTGCCATTAGGACGAGATATTGATGCAGGCCTGAAGTCGGCATGATCTCTTCGTCCAGATTCCGGCATCAGCATTTATTGTGGTGGTTATTTGCTAGTATCATCCCTTTTCAACTCCCGACGAACAATAAGGGCACAGGGTAAAAGATCTCTACATGGTATCTCAGAGTGTTGGCAATTCTCTGTGAGATACAGTGCTCACCAATCCTCGGACGGTGAGCACTTGAATGTGTAGTCTCCCACGATGATGCTGATGCGGCTCTCAGGTTCTGCTGAGCTAGAGTTACACTAACCGTTAGGGAGCTCATCAGGGCCTTCATCCACTAAACACGGATGGATCATGCGCGATTACGCTTTGGTGCATCCGGCCTGTAGATCTCATCTTGGTCAGCACCATGATGCGACGGCTGACAGGCTATTAATACACTTGTGTTATTGTTCCCGAGGCTAGCTGCCACTGATGGATGTGAATGGGCGACGCGGTTGGCTTCTCCTCTTCCACCGCCATCGACACCCTCCAGCAGCATCCAGCTGGCCGTGTTGACGCTGCTGCAGAGGAAGCAGGACCACCCCTGCACCATGGCCGCTTTCAAATTCCCCAGCTTCTTCGCCAGGTCCCCGGCACCCGACCGTCGCTTCCCACCTTCCATCTACCGCCCCCTCAACCAGACCGATATCGACCACGACGACCACGACGATGACGATGCCGCCCACCACCATGGCGCCGCCTCGGGGGAGCCTCTCGACACGGCTGCTAGCAGAGGAGCAGCGAGTTCCACCGCTCCCCGCGATGCAGCAGCCATGATGCTCATCAAGCTCGGCCACGATCCCTCCCACCGCATCCCCATCTCGTCCTCCACCAACGACCGAATCCTGCGCCGAATCGACCTCGCCCTCCTCCCCCTCATGCTCACCGTATACTTTCTCCACGCCCTCGACAAGGCTACACTCTCCTATGCCTCCATCTTCGGCCTCATCGAGGACACCAAACTCGAAGGCGACCAGTTCTCCTGGCTGGGCAGCATTGTCTACGTCGCGCAGCTCATCTTCCAGCTTCCCGTCGCCTGGGCCCTCGTCAAGCTGCCGGTGGGCAAGTTTACAAGTCTCATGGCGCTGGGCTGGGGAATAACGCTTACGGGGATGGCCGGTGCGAAACGATTCCCCCATCTTTTGGGAGCCAGGTTCTTGCTGGGGACATTCGAGACCAGCATTGGGCCGAGCTTTGTTGCGATTACACAGATGTGGTGGAGGAGGAGAGAGCAGACGCTGCGAATAGGGTCCTGGTATTGCATGAACGGGCTCTCCTGGGTGGTAGGTTATGCATCCCTGATCAACCGGGTTCTGCGCTGACAATTGTTCAGCTGGGAAGTCTAATTACATACGCCCTCGCCAGTATCCATTCGAGTTTGAAGCCATATCAGGTACTTGACACACCTACCGCGGCCATGACTTAGTTACTGAGACATTGCAGATCATCTTTCTCTTCTTCGGCCTCGTGACGGTTGTATTTGCGTTCATCATGTTCTTTCACATGCCCGACTCGCCCACGGAGGCCAAGTTCCTCTCGGATGAGGACAAAGTCATTGCCATTGAGCGCCTCCGGGATAACCAGATGGGAGTCATGTCGAGGGAATGGCGATATAGCCAATTTTACGAAACCCTGCGCGATCCCAAGACATGGCTATGGACCGCAATGATCTTTTGCGCCTCTGTCCCGTCCAATGGCATTGGA